CTTTTTTACTCAGCTTCAATAAAAAGGATTGGTTCTGCCATATTCTTAACAGGGCTGACCTTACAAAATCGTTTCCAAACCCTTTTTCTTTCTGTTCCTTTTCATACCATGTATAGGCATGCCATCCTGACCTCAAATCAAAACCTTCCAGCACCAGGAGCTTTTCATCTTTCAGCTTCATCCATTCCCTGATCCATATTAAGGAGCTGGCTTCTGCATATAGTCATAGATCTGGAAGTCCAAAGCCTCCCCTTGATTTCTTATCAATCAATACTGTATGTTTTATCTTTGGTCTTTTACCTTTCCATAAACATTTCAATAGTTCTCTACTCCATTCTGAATTTTTTTTTACATTTCTTATTATTGGTAAGTTCTGGAAGAGGTAAAGTAGCCTAGGCAAAATGTTCATTTTAATCAAAGAAATACGGCCCAAGAGGGAAAGATTTACATTTTTTCCATTCGATCCGGTCCTTCTTAATTGCCACCCATGTTTTTTCATAATTGTTTTTTAACAACTGATTTTTTTTCGCCAGGATCCAAATTCCTAAGTATTTTAGTTTTGTTGTGATTTGTAGCCCTATCTTTTTTATACGTTCTTCTTGCCTCTTTTTGTCCATATTTTTAGTTAGTATCATCGTCTTCTTTTTATTTAGTTTAAAGCCTGCCACTTTGCCAAATTCCTCGATTTTTTGTAGCCAGATTTGGAGGTTCTTACCACGATTTTCTACTATTCCTATTACGTCGTTGGCGAAAGCTCCAACTTTAAATTCATATTTCCTTACTTTCGCTCCTTTAACTTCCTGCTCCTCTCTAATACTTTTCAGCAGAATCTCTAACGACATTCAGGAAGCCCAATAAAAAGGACTGATTGGACGCTCTTTGAAGAATATGAAAAAGCCAAGAAACAGGGAGCATAAATATAATACATATTTTTTTACTTTTTCAAAATTAGATACACATAGACTTACAATAAATATAATAAATTTGTTCCATACCTCCACCACTGGAAGATAAAGTAAATGAACTTATAGAGTAGAATTAATAATTAATTTAGGAAGATAGAATTATTATTATTTTTGTAGACGAAGGACAACAAGCGAAAGCGCAGGATGGAAGTTAAGAACGTTTCATTTTTTCAGTTTTTCTCTCTCTTTTTTTCTTCCACTTTCCCTTTTTTCCTTCTCTTTTTCTTTTTCCTACTATTTTTGTATATCAATTGTTCCCCCACTTTCCATGTATTATTTTTTTCTTTCTCTTTTTTCTTTATATTTTTAGGCACTATAAAATCTTTCATATTATATTATTTTCTCTTAATTCTCTTGTATGCATAATAACGATAAATAATTTTTAAAAATAAAATAAAAAGGATTGGTTTTTCACTCAACATGTGGTGTGTTTTAAAGTCAGAGGGTATCATCTCTGTTCTGGAGTGCAACAGGAGGTAAGAACCTGCGCCTTGGCAAAGAAGATAAAAAACTTTCCGAAACTATAACTCCCAGGATCCCATAGCATTGAGCCACAATGCAGATGCATCCTAGGCTATGAAATTGGACCTAGAGTTTAGAACGACAGGATTATGAACCCAGAGAGAGAGAGAGAGAGATGTATTTCAGGGGCCAAAAGTAAACCAAATACATCCAAATCCAGACCTGCTTCCTCCAGAAGCATTCTTCGTGTCAGCAATCTAATTGAGGTCTTGATCCAGGGGTGTTATTTTTTCATTAAACGGGGTTAACCGAGAGGAACAGAAATCCTCGGCGATGTATTTCTCCATTCCGAAACTATCTTCTATTTCCTCCCCCTTGCGTCAAGATGATGTGTTTACTTTTCTTAAAATACTCCCAATACGACTCTATATCTTTCCATTTCCTCTTCCAATCCTTACATAGAGAAGGAGAATAAAAGGCAAGAGATCAAAGATGAGTCAGATCGAGAAACTGGGGCATTCTCAGCATCGCAGGCTACTTATCAGTTACTTTCAGGTGCATCGTGGCCATATCTGCAATGGGAAGAAATGCTTATGCCTGCCGCTGAAAGCCTCTGCCGCTCCAAATGTGTTGGAAGCATTGGACATATCCTGGGATTATCATGCTCAATAGACATTGTAATTAGTAAGTGTGTTCCTGAAATACATGTAAACAAGGCAGGAAAGGGTTCAAAAAGAGAGCGAAGATTTTGAGAGAAAGACTTCACTAGAAAGTTGTGAAGGTTCTGAAATCTAAATATTCTTAACTATTCTATCCCATAGAATTAATCCACTTTAACTACCATGGCTCCATGGAGTCATAGGAGTTGTAGTTTGATGGGGCACCAGCAGAGGCGGCCATAGGTAATTTTCAATGGTAAGCAAACAGTATTTTGCCCCCCCCCCCAACCAATCACTGATATATATTTTCTGTTCGTCGTGGGAGTTCTGTGTGCCATATTTGGTTCAATTCCATCATTGGTGGAGTTCAGAATGCCCTTTGATTGTAGGTGAACTATACATCCCAGTAACTACAACTCGCATATGTCAAGGTCTATTTTCCCCCAAGAGCGCCTCAAGAGCGCCCCTGAGCAAAATCAACTCTACTGCAAATGCTTACTTTGCGTAACGGGTTGAGCCGCCCCTGGGCACCAGCCCTCTTTACCAGAGAAAGATACAGACCTTATAAAACTACAACTCTCGGGATTCCATAGCTTCAAGCCATAGCTGCCAAAGTGGTATCAAACTGCATTATTTGACATTTGCACCTCATGTTTGTGGTAGACCCCTTAACACAGTTCCTCATGTTGTGGTGATCCCCAGCCATAACATTATTTTTGTTGCTGCTTCACAACTGTAATTTTGCTACTGTTATGAATCGTAATGTAAATATCCGATATGCAGGATGTATTTTCATTCACTGGCACAAATACCCAATATGTCCAAATGTGAATACTAGTAGGGTTGGGAGGAGGATTGATTTTATCATTTGGGAGTTGTAGCCAGTGGGATTTATAGTTCACCTACATTCAAAGGGCATTGTGAACTCCACCAACAATGGAATTGAACCAAACTTGGCTCACAGAACTCCCATGACCAATAGAAAATACTGGAAGGGTTTGGTCAGTATTGACCCTGAATTTTGAAGTTGTAGTTCACCTACATCCAGAGAGCACTGTGAATTCAAACAATGATGGATCTGGACCAAACTTGGCACGAATACTCAATATGCCCAGATGTGGTGGAGTTTGGGGAAAATAGAGCTTGACATTTGGAAGTTGTAGTTGCTGGGATTTATAGTTCACCTACAATCAAAGAGCATTATGAATTCCACCAACGATGGAATTGAACCAAACTTGACAGACAGAACTCCCATGACCAACAGAAAATACTGGAAGGGTTTGGTCAGCACTGACCTTGAGTTTTGGAGTTGTAGTTCCCCTACATCCAGAGAGCACTGTGGACTCAAACAATGACAACGTTGGACAAAACTTGGCACGAATATTCAATATGCCCAAATATGAACACTGGCGGAGTTCGGAGAAGATAGACCTTGACATTTGGGAGTTGTAGTTACAGGGATTTATAGTTCACCTACAATCAAAGAGCATTCTGAACCGCACCAATGATAGAATTGGGCCAAACTTCCCACACAGAACCCATAAGCAACAGAAAATACTGTGTTTTCTGATGGTCTTTGGCGACCTCTCTGATACTCTGGTTAACTATAAATCCCAGTAATTACTATTCCTAAATGACAAAATCAATCCCCCCGAATCCCACCAGAATTCGAATTGAGGCGTATCGGGTATTTGTGCCAAATTTGGTCCAGTGAATGAAAATGCATCCTGCATATCAAATATTTGCATTACGATTCATAACAGTAGCAAAATTAGAGTTGTGAAGTAGCAACAAAAATAATGTTATGGTTGGGTGTCACCACAACATGAGGAACTGGATTAAGGAATCATGGCATTAGGAAGGTTGAAAAACACTGATCTATACCATAGAATTAATGCATTTTTTCATCACTTTAATTGAATGTGTGGTGGAGACTCCTTCTTTGGAGGCTTTTAAGCAGAGGTTGGATGGCCATCTGTCGGGGGTGCTTTGAATGCAATTTTCCTGCTTCTTGGCCAAATGGGGTTGGACTGGATGGCCCATGAGGTCTCTTCCACCTCTATGATTCTATGAATGCTCGGGAATTCTAGGAGCTGTAGATTCACAAGGTCTTTAGTCTTCTCTGTCATAGAGTGCAGGTTCCTCACTAAACTACAGCTCCCGTGAGGCATTAATTCTACTGTGTGTATACCTTCCTGGTCTCCTAAAGTCATAGAATCATAGAATCAAAGAGTTGGAAGAGACCTCCTGGGCCATCCAGTCCAACCCCATTCTGCCAAGAAGCAGGAATATTGCATTCAAATCACCCCTGACAGATGGCCATCCAGTCTCTGCTTAAAAGCTTCCAAAGAAGGAGCCTCCACCACACTCCGGGGCAGAGAGTTCCACTGCTGAACGGCTCTCACAGTCAGGAAGTTCTTCCTCATGTTCAGATGGAATCTCCTTTCTTGTAGATTGAAGCCATTGTTCCTTGTCCTAATCTCCATGGAAGCAGTAAACAAGCTTGCTCCCTCCTCCCTGTGGCTTCCTCTCACATATTTATACATGGCTATCATATCTCCTCTCAGCCTTCTCTTCTTCAGGCTAAACATGCCCAGCTCCTTAAGCCACTCCTCATAGGGCTTGTTCTCCAGACCCTTTATCATTTTAGTCACCCTCCTCTGGACACATTCCAGCTTGTCAATATCTCTCTTGAATTGTGGTGCCCAGTGTTATACTACAAAACTCAAACCATTGCACCATGGCGCTCCATTGGCAAGTGTGTTGTTGTGTGACTTCCCAGGGTTGTTCCGAAGTCATAGTCCAATACTCAAACCACCACAACAGCTCTCCCTATTTGAAAGCACCATCACATTGCTTTTTTTAAAGTGTCAAGTGATGACTGTCTCACCAAACGTTGTCTAATGTTTTGCAGGTGGGTTTTGCATCCCCCTCTACATCCCCTACATCCTCACGGGTGAATGGAAGTTTGGGAAGGGCCTCTGCAAAGTCTGGTTGGTGGTCGATTACCTGGTGTGCACGGCCTCCGTTTTCAACATCGTCTTGATCAGTTTCGACAGATTCATCTCCGTCACGAAGGCGGTAAGGAACCCACCCCTTCTCCCACCTCTCCTGACCTTGACCTCATTCGAAATCCTCTTGGTACAATGTATTGTCGAAGGCTTTCATGGCCAGAATCACTGGGTTGTTGTGAGTTTTCTAGACTGTCTGGCCATGTTCCAGAAGCATTCTCTCCTGACGTTTCACCCACATCTATGGCAGGCATCCTCAGAGGGTGTGAGGTCTGTTGGAAACTAGGAAAATGGGAAATCCACAAGCATGTGGACAATTTCAACAGAAAGGAAGAAACCATGAAAATGAACAAAATCTGACTACCAGTATTTTAAAAAAACTCTAAAATCATAACAGTGAATCAAGAACAACACTCAAAAATGGTTTGGGTGTTGCTGTATTTGGTAGTCCCTATGTAGACTTGCCCATCACTCCTGCAAGAGTGAGAGGATTCTTCTTGTCCTTTGCTGAACTAAATCAGGACAGTATAAGAACAATACTAAAAAGCAGGGGAATTCCAGACAAGAAACAATTAGGGCCAGCTAATCACATCTCAACAAAGAATTTCTCCAGGCAGTAAGAAGTCTGATCTTAAATGCTAATCAAAGTGGCCCATTGCAACATTCACACCTGTTAGGGATTCCTTATCTTTGGAAAAGGAAGGGTAGTAGGGAAGTGCTCAGCAATTGGAGGGAGAAGAAGAACCAGATAATGAGGTTTTACAAGTACCCACTGTTGCAACTCAGCGTAGTTTTCACCTTGCTCCCAAACACCACCACACCAAAGCTGTAGATTTTGTAGTTTATTGAAGAAAAGGCAAAGTCAAAACACAGTATAAGAAATGCAAAGTTCCATAAGGCTTAAATGCAAAGACACAGTTCCCAAGATCCAAAGGCAAAAACATGAAGCATAATCCTTTAAGCAATGGTCAAACAATGGTCCATGGAAAACAGTTGAATACAAGACCCAAAATCCCAGACTCAGGAAGCCAGAAGCGTGCTGCTTAAAGTCAAGGTTAATCCATAGAAGTTTGCATGGAAAGAGCTACATTGAATTGACAACCCCTGTGTGTCAGCGAGAAGGCTAAATACCCTTTGCAGACATGAACACATTGCGATGACCCTTGGCACACTTGGCTTCCCGCTTGCTAGCTAAGCGAGAGCTTCTCCGGACCCTTAATTGCAGACGATCTTGCCTGCTCATTAATTCATTATCTTCTAATCCCTTATCTTGGTCCTGCAGCTGGACCGAATCACCGTGGGAAGGCAAAGAAGGCAAAAACATCTCCACCTGGCCATGTGGGATTTCACTCTCGTTATTAGTCTCACTAACATTCCTTTCCCCTGAGAACTGCCTTGCTGTTTCCCCTTCTGCAGCCTCACCATCAATAATGTGTGAAACATGTACAGAAATCTGTAACCCATCATCCTCATCCTCATCTTGTAGGAACTGGCTCACAAAGCCCACAGGGCTCAGCTTCAGACTCAGAGTCAAGCTGAGTCACAACACCCACATTTCTAGAGAGACGAAAAGAGACAGAGCACAAATGGTGTTCAACTAGACTAGCTGCTAGAAACGCTGAGCTAATTGGGAGATGCCCTAGCACCTCCTGCGTGGGGAATTCAGTCAGGGCTATAAATCAGTAGCAGGAGCAGTCAGCTTTCGCTAGTAACAACGACTCTGATGCTGATGTTTTTTCTTCAATTGAACCTGCTTTGTGTCTGCTGCCAAGGACTTAGTGATCATTGCCCATTGTCTTATGTTTCTTTTGGGACTTTGTAAGAGACTTTAATTTGTGTCTGCATTAAGGCTTCCTTGCTTTCTTTTGTATTTTTCAACTGCATTTGCTTATCCTTTGTGTTTGCCAAAGTAAAGCATTTAAGGCTGTTTTTTGAAGGGCAGCTCAGGACAACACCTATTGCAAACAGACAAGAGTTCTTTCTCCCACCCTGGACATTCCACAGATATATAAACCTCCCTTGTCTAGTTTCCAACAGACCTCACAACCTCTGAGGTTGCCTGCCACAGATGTGGGCTAAACGTCAGGAGAGAATGCCAGGTTGTTAACTGGTGCTCCTTACAGGGAGAGGTCAACACTCCTGTTTAAGGAGCTCCATTGGCTGCAGTTCATTTTCTAGGCCCAATTTAAGGTGCAGGTGCTTACCTACAAAGCCCTAAACGGTTTGGGACCCAGCTACCTGCGTGACCGCATTTCTGTATACGAACCCACACGATCTCTTCGTTCATCTGGAGAGGCCCTGCTCAYGATCCCACCTGCATCGCAAGCRCGATTGGTAGGAACGAGGGACAGGGCCTTCTTGGTGGTGGCCCCTCGACCCTGGAACTCCCTCCCCAAGAACATCAGGCAGGCCTCARCGTTGGCAGTCTTTAGAAGGAGCTTGAAAACGTGGATGTTCCAGTGTGCCTTCCCAGAATAAGGAATCCCAAGCAATATGTCCCAAATGCACTTTACGAGAGATTTAGGATTGTCTGCACGCCCACCTATCCCTATTTCACTTTGACATGCCCAGCATTTAAAATTTTTTAATTATTACATTTGGCCCTGCCACAGGTTTTTAAATGCGTCGTGATATTATTGTTATTGTTTTGCTTTGTTTATGAGTTATTTACTGTGGTATTGTTGTCGTTATGTTTTATTGTTGTTTTATTTGGGCTCAGCCTCTTGTAAGCTACGCCGAGTCCTGCGGGAGATGGTAGCGGGATATAAATAAAGGATTATTATTATTATTATTATTATTATTATTATGCTTCTGGAACATGGCTGTACAGCCCGGAAAACTTATAACAAAATGTGCTGCAGGATGTCCTGCAAAACAACGGTTTTTTTGCAGTTTAATACATCTTTTCCATGTTTTTTATGATAGAACCAATTAGAAAATAATGACATTTATAATCCAGGAACAAAATCATGTTATGTAGTGCTATTCAGCAGAGATTTTGCTCTCGTCTATGCATCCCTGACACTTCCTCCTCCGGCTTTCCTCCTAGGTGAGTTACCGAGCTCAGAAAGGGGTGACCAAGAATGCCGTTGTGAAAATGGTGATGGTGTGGGTCGCCGCTTTCCTCCTCTACGGTCCAGCCATCATCAGCTGGGAGCACGTCACCCAACGTAGCATCGTTCCAGAGAAAGAGTGCCACGCTGAGTTCTTCTACAACTGGTACTTCCTCATGATCGCCTCCACCATTGAGTTCTTCACGCCTTTCATCAGCGTGACCTACTTCAACCTGAGCATCTATTTCAACATTCGGAAACGGACGCCCATAAGGACCGAGAACCTCACTCCCGGCGAACGCGACTGCGAGGTGTGCTCCCACGGGAAGAAGCAGGAGCACGCCATCTTTTTTATGAAAGTGAGCCGGAAAAGGAACAACGAGCGAGCCGGCAGCCTCTCTCCAACCAAGTTGGCCACATCGAAGCTCAACGGCCACAACCAGGACAACCAGCTGGTAGAATTCAACATCGACCAAGAACTCCCACCTTTACAAGTGGATGTTCGGTCCAAATCTCCATGGGATGGTTTCTACAAAGCTCTCGAGAGCATTTCCAACAACACGAGGAAGATGGAGGTGGCCAACACCATGGCTAGTCGGTTTCGGCTTTCCCGAGACAAAAAAGTGGCCAAGTCTTTGGCCATCATTGTCTGTGTCTTTGCTTTCTGTTGGGCTCCGTACACCCTCCTGATGATCATCCGAGCCGCTTGCCATGGCCAATGCATCCACCATGCTCTCTATGAAGCGTCGTTCTGGCTCCTGTGGCTGAATTCGGCCATTAATCCCATTTTGTATCCCTTGTGCCACATGAGCTTTAGAAAAGCGTTTTTTAAACTGTTGTGCCCAGGCAAGGCGAAAATTCACCCGAATGTTTTCTCATAACATCATGCAAAGCCGGTAACAAGGAATTTTAATATGGATGCATTTAGCATCTCAAAAGAAATTCTACGAGGGTTGAATGAAAAGTAATGCCTCCACCTTCGTAACTCCTCAACAGATGGCAGTACTGGCATGCGGCAGGTACTGGCTTGTTCAGTAGACTCTCCTCTACAGTTGCATTTTGGCAGGAAACTTTAACATTGAAAGGTTGTGTTGTTAAAGTGCGAAGTATGGAACCTCGGCGCAGATGGTCAGTCAATGCAACTTAAGCAACATTCAGTCATTGAATTCTTGACAGCAGAAGGTGTCACCCCATTTGCCGTCACACCTGGGGGCTATAACTCTTAGTGAAAGAGGCATGGGCGTAGCATCTTTCCCCAGGGGATTGCTTCTTGCCCTCCTATAGGAAACGGGAACTCCCAAAGACCAAAACACAACAGATAACTCGAAATGGTATTTATTGTTCACAATGAGTTATCTTTCTCAGGCATAAGCTTGATGTTTCAACAGGGATAAAGGAAATATACGTTACAATCTCTGAAATACAAGAAGTTTGCAGCTGAGAAGCTTTTCCTGTTTCCTCTTTCCTCAATGGCTGTGAATATCGGAATAAACACAACCCCAGTCCAATGGCCTATGTTGAAGGGACAAAACCTTCCTCTGGTGCCAAAAAAACCAGTTTGAAGGCGCTTGGGTCTCCTCAAAGTTGTCCTGGACATAAAGCATGAGTCCCAAGGGTAAAAAACCTTAGAATTGGTGCTGAGAGGTAATTTAATCAGGGGCTTTTAGAGCCAAGTCTCTTACTCACGTCCATCTGATAGAAACTCTGATGGCAGAATAAAAAAGGGAAGCACTCCCCTCCTCCAGGAAGAGGTGGAGCCAAACAATTGAGCTGAACAAAGCAATTCAACTGGTGCAAACAACACTGATTGACAGCTATAAATAACCAATCAATCCAACTATACATAAACAGGGTAAAAAGGCAGGATTAAGCATTATACAACAGTTTAAATCTTGCAACTAACAGTTGCACACATAGGTGGCGCCACTCGCGCCATCACACCCCGAAGGAGATACATCAGAGAATACAAGCTGTTTATGGTGATTGTGTTGATGTGAGTACTGTGTGTCATTGGGCAAGTAAGTTTAAAGATGTTGAGGTGACACCTTCTGCTGTTAAGAATTGAATGATTGCACATTGCTTAAGTCACACTGACCGACCGTCTGGGCAGGGTTCCATACATTGCACTTTAACAACACAACCATTCAGTGCTAAGGCTTCCTGGCAAAATGGAACTGTAAATGAGAGTCTACTGAACAAGCCAGTACCTGCCGCATACCAGTACTGCCATCTGTTGAGGAGTTACAAAGGTGAAGGCATTACTTTTTATTCAACCCTCGTATATGCTCATCCAAGTGAACAGCTCATTTTGCCCTGAAGTCAAAGCTATGGAAACTTTTTTTCTGAATATTTTAGGCAAGGAGGCCTGACTTATCCATAATACGCAATCACAACCTGGGACGTTGTATAGAAAGTTCTGAACTTAAGAGTCGAAGCTGGTGCCTTCATTCTTTGGATGTAGCCATCGATACAATTCCATTTCCATTGCTGAAAGACTGTGTGTATGCTTGTGTGTTAAGAAATTGCTTAAAATAAAAAGGCAAGGTTTGCTTTAAAGTCTTCTACTTACTTACTTACTTACTTACTTACTTACTTACTTAGGCAATCCCTCGTCTGAGTAGAATTGTCTTCCAAGATCGGAGTCCTGGCGGTGGGTCTGTAGGTGACTGTGGAGCCCTAATCTTGACCTGCATTGTTCTCCCACAGGGAGAGCATTGGTTTCCAGGTGGAAGGCGGTCCCAGTCGGGGTTGGCTTAATGTGCCTTCCTCTCGGCATGTTTCTCTCTTTCACCCTCCATTCGTGCCTCTTCAAATTCTGCAGCACTGCTGGTCACAGCTGACCTCCAGCTGGAGCGCTCAAGGTCCAGGGCTTCCCAGTTCTCAGTGTCTATGCCAGAGTTTTTAAGGTTGGCTTTGAGCCCATCTTTAAATCTGTTTTCCTGCCCACCAACATTCTGTTTTCCGTTCTTGAGTTCGGAGTAGAGCAACTGCTTTGGGAGACTGGTCGGGCATCCAGACAACGTGGCCGGTCCAGCAGAGTTGATGGCGGAGGACCATCACTTCAATGCTGGTGGTCTTTGCTTCTTCCAGCACGCTGACATTTGTCTGCTTGTCTTCCCAAGAGATTTGCAGGATTTTCCGGAGGCAACACTGATGGAATCGTTCCAGGAGTTGCATGTGACGTCTGTAGACAGTCCACGTCTCACAGGCATAGAGCAGGGCTGGGAGGGGAATAATGTCTCGCAGGCATATAGCAGGGTTGGGAGGACAATAGCTTTATAAACAAGCTCCTTGGTATTCCTACAGATGTCCCGTCCTCAAACACTCTCTGCTTCATTTGGAAAAATGCTGCACTTGCAAAGCTCAGGCAGTGTTGAATTTCAGTGTCAACGTTTATTTATTTACTTACTTATTTACTTACTTACTTACTATACTTGTATACCACCTTTCTCAGCCTATCGGTGACACAATGTTGACTTTTGTGGAGAGGTGGCTGCCAAGGTAGCAGAAGAGGTCAACATTTTCTAATGTCATACCATTAAGCTGTATTGCTGGCCTTGGAGAGGGATTGGCTGGTGATTGCTAGAAGAGCACTTTGGTTTTATTTATTTATATTTATTTATTTATTTATTTATTTAGAGCTTTTATAACCCGGTCTTCTCGACCTCCGAAGAGGGACTCAGGCCGGTTCACAGCAGGAAATTCATACACAAATAGAATAAAAACATAAATACATTAAAATACAGATCATACAATTACATAAGGCCAGGTCGTCAGAGTAAAATCACAAATTCATCACCATCCACCAGTGTGGTCAGCAGTTATTGACTCAGTCATCATTCTGCAAATGCTATATTCCAAAGCCAAGGTTTTATCAGCTTTCTGAAAGTCAGGAGAGAAAGGGCAGATCTAATCTCCAACAGGAGAGAGTTCCAGAGCCGAGGGGCCACCACCGAGAAGACCCTGTCCCTCGTCCCCACCAGACGCGATTGCGAGGGTGGTGGGACCGAGAGCAGGGCCCCTCCAGAAGATCTTAACAACCTTGATGGTTCATAGGGGAGAATCCGTTCAGACAGGTAAACTGGGCCGGAGTCGTTTAGGGATTTATAGGTCAGCACCAGCACTTTGAATTGTGCTCGGAAGCTAATTGGCAGCCAGTGGAGCTGATGCAGCAGAGGAGTAGTATGCTCCCTGTACCCCGCTCCTGTTAGTAATCTGGCTGCCACTCGTTGGACTAGTTGAAGCTTCAGGGCAGTCTTCAAAAGCAACCCCATGTAGAGAGTGTTGCAGTAGTCAATACAAGATGTAACCAGAGTGTGGACCACCAGAGCGTGGACCACCGTGGCCAAGTCAGACTTTCCAAGGTATGGACGCAGCTGGAGCACAAGTTTTCTCAATGTTCAATGAGAGGCCGAGCTTCTCATATGCTTCTGCGAAGGTGTTTAGAGTGGCTTGTAGGTCTTCTTCTGAATGCGCACAGACGACATTGTCATCAGCATACTGGAGTTCTATAACAGATGTTGTTGTAACCTTGGTTTTGGCTTTCAGTCTGCTGAGGTTAAACAGCTTGCCATCTGTCCGATAGATGACTTCCACTCCGGTGGGAAGCTTCCCATCAACAAGGTGAAGTATCATAGCAATGAAGATGGAGAATAAAGTTGGGGCTGAGCTGCTGAGCTTGTTGACCAAAAGGTCACAGGTTCTATTCCGGGAAGCGGTGTGAGCTTCCGCTGTCAGCACTAGCTTCTGCCAACCTAGCAGTTCGAAAACATGCAAATGTGAGTAGATCAATAGGTACTGCTCCGGTGGGAAGGTAACGTGCTCCATGCAGTCATGCCGGCCACATCTTGGAGGTGTCTACGGACAACGCTGGTTCTTCGGCTTAGAAATGGAGATGAGCACCACACCCCAGAGTCAGACATGACTGGACACATTATTGCTTTGCTTGACTATCGGAAGATCTATGCAAGATGGGTACCAGGATGCTGACGCCTGAAATGAAAGCGCACAAACTTGAAACTCACCACCATACGGCATCCTCCATACAGTCCAGATTTAGCACCATCTGTCTTCCATCTATTCCTGATAATGAAAGAAGATCTGCGGGGACATCATTATGCTTCTGATGAAGATGTTGAGAGAACGGTGAGATGATGGTTGCGGAAACAGAGTGTCGACTTCTTCGGTGACGGCTTCAGAAAACTTGTTCATTGTTGGCAGAAATGAATCCAATTGTCTGGTGATTATATGGAAAAGTGAATAAAAAGGTAAAGGTAAAGGTAGTCCCCTGACATTAACTCCAGTCGTGTCCCACTCTGGGGTGTGTGCTCATCTCCATTTCTAAGCCGAAGAGCCAGCATTGTTCGTAGACACCTCCAAGGTCATGTGGCCAGCATGACTGCATGGAGCACTGTTACCTTCCCGCTGGAGTGATATAGCACATTCTAAGGATTATTTCTGCATTTGATTTATTAAAATATTCACATCCAAACCCAAGTAATGAAGGTGGAGGCATTACTTTTCATTCAACTCTTCATTGAGACAATATGTCCTAGATGATCCTGACATTGGTAGCCAATGGTATCTGCAGCAGGCTTTAGCACCAATGTATTGTTGTGGATCAAAATCCGATGTGCTGACCATGAACTGAGTGGAAATATGAAGTGGTGCACTAATTAGATGAGTAATCAAAGACAGTGTTTATGAAGCCGGATTCTCGGAACACGCAGTACTTGGAACCGGGAGGAAAAGTCTGCCTCATTCGGCTTTTGCGGTTTCTCATCATCAGCCGTCGACCTTAAAGCCCTTCCTCCTATGATTCATTATACGGATCAATCGACAGTTGATTCATTCTACGAACTGATCCAAAGTTGCATCGAAACGATTTTGTTTGGTTGACAGTCCCCTAGAACTACCTCCCAGGAACGTATCTGGCAGAAATGCAAAGCCGCGTTTCCGCTCCAGCAAGCCTTTTACAATCGCATTCTGCCATTTATTTAAATGGCTTTTCCAGGATTGCTTTTAACATTGTTTTCTAATAATAGGCAATTTTCGAAGCATTTTTTCTCTCCCCCTTCTGAGAAGAAAAGCAGGCTATGAATAATAACGCTGATGGCTAAAACGGGGGGGGGGGGGGGGGAGGAATTGTTTAGGACAGGAGCAGTATGCATACTTGGGATCAGCAATGTTAAAACATTATCTATCTATCTATCTATCTATCTATCTATCTATCTATCTATCTATCTATCTATCTTGTTGTTGTTCATTCGTTCAGTCGTCTCCGACTCTTCGTGACCTCATGGACCAGCCCACGCCAGAGCTCCCTGTCGGCTGTCACCACCCCCAGCTCCTTCAAGGTCAGTCCAGTCACTTCAAGGATGCCATCCATCCATCTTGCCCTTGGTCGGCCCCTCTTCCTTTTGCCTTCCACTTTCCCCGGCATAATTGTCTTCTCTAGGCTTTGCTGTCTCCTCATGATGTGGCCAAAGTACTTCAGCTTTGTCTCTAGTATCCTTCCCTCCAATGAGCAGTCGGGCTTTATTTCCTGGAGGATGGACTGGTTGGATCTTCTCGCAGTCCAAGGCACTCTCAGAACTTTCCTCCAGCACCACAGCTCAAAAGCATCGATCTTCCTTCGCTCAGCCTTCCCTAAGGTCCAGCTCTCACATCCGTAGGTGACTACAGGGAATACCATGGCTTTGACTAGGCGGATCTTCATGGTTGCTCTTCTCATATCTTCTATCCCTATCCATCCATCTATCTATCTATCTATCATCTATCCATCCATCCATCCATCCATCCATCCATCCATCATCTATCTATCTATCTATCTATCTATCTATCTATCTATCTATCTATCTATCTATCTATCTATCTATCCATCCATCCATCCATCCATCCATCCATCCATTTATTTAGAAGTTTTATATACCAGTCTCTCACCTCCATGGAGGGACTCAGGCCGGTTCACAACATGTGATCATATACAGTAATATACAAAAACAGCACAATGCATCATCATTATACATTAAAATATAAGTACAATAAAATCATCATCATCACATTACACAAGCCAAGTCGTCAATATGGTCACCATTCGTCACCATCTTTCCATGTGGACAAGGGTTATTGACTCAATCTTCAAATGCCACATTCCAAAGCCAAGCTTTTATTAGTTTCCTAAAGGTCAGGAGGGAAGGAGCAAATCTAATCTCTGGTAGGAGGGAATTCCAAAGCAGAGGGGCCACCACTGAGAAGGCCCTGTCCCTCGTTCCCACCAAACGTGATTGCGAAGGTGATGGGACCGAGAGCAGGGCCCCTCCGGAAGATCTTAGTAACCTTGATGGTTCATAGGGGAGAATCCGTTCGGACAGGTAAACTGGGCCGGAGTCGTTTAGGGCTTTATAGGTCAACACCAGCACTTTGAATTGTGCTCGGAAGCTAATTGGCAGCCAGTGGAGCTGGCGTAACAGAGGGTTGTATGGTCTCTGTACCCTGCTCCTGTTAGCAATCTGGATGCCGCACGTTGGACTGATTGAAGCTTCCGGGCAGTCTTCAGTGGCAACCCCACATAGAGAGCGTTGCAGTAGTCTATAAACGGGATGTAACCAGAGCGTGGACTACCGTGGCCAAGTCAGAATTCCCAAGGTACGGGCGCAGCTGGCGCACAAGTTTTAATTGTGCAGTAGCCTCCAATAATTCTTCCTCTGGGTTGTTGTAGGGGTTTTTTCGGGCTATATGGCCATGTTCTAGAGGCATTCTCTCCTGACGTTTCGCCTGCATCTATGGCAAGCATCCTCAGAGGTAGTGAGGTCTGTTGGAACTAGGAAAAAGGGGTTTATATATCTGTGGATGACCAGGGTGGGACAAAGGACTCTTGTCTGCTGGAGCTAGGTGTGAATGTTTCAACTGACCACCTTGATTAGCATTTGATAGCCTGGAAGTGCCTGGAGCAATCTTTTGTTGAGAGGTGATTAGATGTCCCTGATTGTTTTCCCTCTGCTGTTTGCTGTTTTAATTTTAGAGGTTTTTTTTAATACTGGTAGCCAGATTTTGTTCATTTTTCAATGCATTTTGACTGTACCCTCAACTCACTTCTGGCACGATAAATAAATCAGATGCAACAAAAGCCATTCAGAGCCAAGCTTGTTAATAGCAATTTTATTGTTTCACTGGTGCAAAGTCATGATAAGGAAGTAGAACAGTGTAATGCATTTCCCCCCTAATTTTACAGTAATGAAGGTTATACATATACTATATAGACCACAATCTATTACTTTTTTTCCCTCCTCTTCTTTGTCTTCTTAATACTATGCGGAAAAACAAAAAAATCATCTTGATAAAGACATTAAGTGGCCCTTTTACCGAGTGTCACAGAGCCCCCATATGCAAAATATAGTTTCTGGGTTTCATTTTATTTATTTTATTTTTACTTTCTCTCTTGGTTTGAGCATGGTGCTTTACAACTCCAAAAACATGCATTAATATATTCCAGTTATGGGAATGGGTTAAGAATCCGGCAGTTTCTTTTCCAAAGAAAGACAAGGAAACTGAAAAGTTGCCTGCAAAGATGAACCGAACGCACACACTGACAGACACACCTAGAACACTTGCAGCAGATGGAAAGCCAGGCTAGACATTGAAGGGCTTGACGGGGAAGATGAAGCGAGAGAAAAGCAACAGAAAGAAATCAAAGGAGGAAAAAAAAGATAGTTACACGTCACATGAGTTTTAAGAAGAATGGCTTCAGTCGTGCTAACTTTCTGCTGGTCCAAAACTGTAGAATTTGGTAGACGTAGCCAATGTTAAACGTTTGGAAACGCAGCAGGGAGACGGCTTGCAGATTCACATGGAAAGGAGAGCAAACGGCCGAGCTTGGCACTTCCAAAAGGCACAAATCTATGAAATCTAGCATAATGAGGACGATTAAAAAACAAAACAAAACAAAACTCATGGACTTTGATGTAAAATGGAAAGATAACCACTTGGATTAGCAACCGACTGCTCCAGAGCAGTCTTCTTAAATGACCAGCCCTTCGTAGATCGGCCCTTCGGACTCCGGCGACTCCCTCCTCAGGCGCAAGTGCTCCAGGGTGTTGTGAAAGTGTTTGTTAATCTGTTCCGTTTCCTCCGTCGACTCGAGGTTTGGAAGGTCTTCCCGGATTTTTTGTATAAGCTGATTCAAAACCTGAATTGTCACCTGGACAGAGACAAAAAGAAAGACAATAATAATACACTGTGTTCCCTTCTGTTGCACTCCAGAACAGGAATAACCCTCTGATGTTATTTATTTCGGGTACTTTTATCCTGCCCTTCTCAACCCCCGAGGGGGGACTCAGGGCGGCTTACAAAAAGGCACAATTTGATGCCTGTACAAAATACACATAATGTACAAAACCATAGTTAAAACAATTATCACAGTTAAAACTATCAAAACAATCAGTATATAACACATCAATAAAACTATTCTCATGCTCAGCGTTCGTCTTTCAGAGTTCCATAATTCCATTCCATTAGTCCATTCCTGGCCATTCTCAAAGTCCTTTCTTTATCTGCCAGATTGTTCGAATGCCTGGTCCCAAATCCATGTTTTCATTTTTTTCTAAAGGCGGGGGGCCACCACCGAGAAGGCCCTGCTCCTTGTCCCCGCCAACCTCACTTGTGATAGAGGTGGGGTCGAGAGCCAGGCCTCCCCAGAAGATTTTAGACTCCGGGGTGGGACGTAGAGGGAGATCCGTTTGGAACCGTATATAGGTCAAAACCAGCACTTTGAATTGTGCTCGGAAAAACACCACACGTTGAGTAGGAAAACAATCCTTTTTTATTGAAGGCAAGTAAAAGCAGCAAAGTAGAAAAACACTTTAAGGGAATAGGTAAATCCAATTATGTAAGAAGATAAGCAGGAACATATTAGTCCAAGGTATGGTTCTGCAAAGTTCAAAAACAAAGTCCAGACTTTTCTAATAAAATCCAAAGAAACAGGTAAACGTTGATTCAAGGCATGAATAGGTAGTCACAACAGACAAAGAGTCAAACCATACAGCAATAAATCCTTAAACATGAATCTTCCAAGCAAGTTTTCCATGAGACAAGAGCAAGAACTTAGCAGGTTTCTAAAACGATGCTTCATCTGACTATATTTCCCATGCATGGAACTTTATATCCTCACATTAAGTCATTCCAAGCACTCAGAAATTGGTTTCGTTTTCCCTGAATGCCTCTTATCCTTATCTGTCGAAGCCTGGCAGAATGCCGAAGGTCTTGGTCGAGCTGTCTGTTTTGGCTAATTTCCACCCACCTACCTATACGTTCATTAGTCCCTGCAGGTGCCAAGTTGTTTTCAAGCCCCAAATCCTGGGAACTCTCTGGGAGCAATTCAGGGAGTAAACCATCATCCCTATACCCTGTAGGAACATTCTCATGGGAAACTACACTTTGAACAGGTGTCTCTATGTCATTCTCTGCATTAATATCATTGACCAAACCATTGCCATCTTGACCTTCATTGACATCATTCCCCACATCCAAAGCACCTTGATCTTGAAACACAATCACAGGCTGAACTCCAATACCCTCGCTGTTTCGTGGTTCGCTTTACGCAGACTCACTGTTTTGCGGGTTTTTGTAAAAATAAATATGAATTTATTGGGGTCTGAGTCAGGGAAAGAGGAGGAGGAGAGGAGGCCACCACTGAGAACAAGGGAAGCATGCCGCCTCCTTCTTCCTGCTCCGACAGCTCCTTGGACTGCTGTTGCTGCTGGAGACACTTCCCGCAAGCTCTCCCTCCCTTTGCCTCCCCCACGGGCCATGGTACCAATCAAGGAGAACTAGCTGGTCCCCAGAGGTGAGCAGGCCTGAGGCTGGAGGCCCAAAGGCACTGGAGGCAGAGGGGACAGGGTCAGGAAGGCGACAAATTCGCATTTTAAATTAATGCTAATGTGTCACCACTTCATGGTGCTGACCTATGCGACTCCACATCCCCTGGTGTTCAGTGGTGACAGGAGCAGCCAGAAATCTGTGCTCTCCCCAAATGTCTTTTGATTTCATGCTACTCTGGGTCATTTGTTGTCAATCATGTGCCTTCAACTCCTTATGAACCACTTGGACACAGGAGGCAAGCTAAAAAAAAAAAAACACCAACCCTGTGGACGCAGGAGGCAAGCAGGGCTTTTACCACGCAAAGTCACAAGGAGTTTCCATTCAGACTAAGAAAGACCCAAATGCCATAGTGATGTGTCTTATACTACTCAACTCACCGCATCGTTCTCCTTCTCGTAGAAGTAGATATATCTGTTCAGGATTTCTATGAAGAGCTGAACTTGGAGAGAAGGATCCATGCACTGATTTGCTATCTTTAAGGCTTTTTTCAAGCACTCCATGACTCTTTTCCCTCCGTGAAGCTAAGCAGAAGAAGAAAGAACGCTGGTCAATAGTACAATAAAAGACACACATTTATCTGAAGTACAAGTGGTGCAATGGGTTAGACCCTTGTGCCAACAGGACTGCTGACCAAAAGGTTGGCAGTTTGAATCCGGGGAGTGGGGTGAGCTCAGCTCCCATCACAATTGTGGAAAAGAAAAAAGTCTGGATTATTGATGTTGCCATTCCAGGTGACAGTCGCATTGAGGAAAAACAACAGGAAAAACTCAGCCTCTATCAAGACCTCAAAATCAAACTGCAAAGGCTCTGCCATAAACCAGTACAGGTGGTCCCAGTGGTCACTGGCACACTGGGTGCCGTGCCAAAAGTTCTCAGCCGGCATTTGGAAACAATAAACATTTACAAAATCACGATCTGTCAACTGCAAAAGGCCACCTGACTTGGATCGGCGCGCATCATTCAAAAATACATCACACAGTCCTAGACTCTTGGGAAGTGTTCGACTTGTGATTTTGAGATACGAAATCCAGCATAGAGATCTCGTTTGCTGTGAATTTCTGTGCTTTTGTGTCAATAATAATAATAATAATAATAACGGTGGTCTCAGTGGTGATCGGCATACTGGGTACAGTGCCTAAAGACCTTGGCCTGCAATTAAACACAATCGGCGCTGACCAAATCACCACCTGCCAGCTGCAAAAGGCCACCCTACTGGGATCTGCATGCATTATTCGCCGATACATCACTCAGTCCTAGACACTTGGGAAGTGACGTGTGATCCAATACAACAGCCATCAAAGTGTCTGCTGTGGACTTATCTTGTGTTTCAAACGATAATAATTAGCATTATTATCATTATTATACCAATGTTTATACGAAAGCTGACTGGCACAACCTGGGGATCACAACCAGACACAGTGAAGACATCTGCCCTTGCGCTATGCTACTCTGCTGCTGAGTATGCATGCCCAGTGTGGAACACATCTCACCACCCTAAAACGGTGGATGTGGCTCTTAATGAGACATGCCGCATTATTACAGGGTGTCTGCGCCCTACACCACTGAAGAAATTACACTGCTTAGCCGGTATTGCACCACCTGACATCTGCCAGGAAGTAGCAGCCAATAGTGAAAGGACCAAGGCAGAGACATCTCCAGCTCATCCCTTGTTTGGGTATCAGCCAGCACATGTCAACTACTTAAATCAAGAAATAGTTTTCTAAGATCTACAGAGACACTTGCTGGAACACCTCAGCAAGCGAGAGTCCAAAAGTGGCAGGCTCAAACCCAGCACCTCAATCCGTGGGTGATACCAGATGAGAGCCTTCCCCCTTGGCACACAGAAGACTAGGCGACTTGGAAGGCACTGAACAGATTGCGCTCTGGCACCACGAGATGCAGAGCCAACCTTAAGAAATGGGGCTACAAAGTGGAATCCACGACATGCGAGTGTGGAGAAGAGCAAACCCCTGACCACCTGCTGCAATGCAACCTGAGCCCTGCCACATGCACAATGGAGGACCTTCTTGCGGCAACACCAGAGGCACTCCAAGTGGCCAGATACTGGTCAAAGGACATTTAATCAACTACCAAACTCACAAATTTGGTATTTTGTCTGTTTGTTTGCTTTGTTCTGTTAGAAATGTAATATAATTGACTGGTTGCCCTGACACGATAAATAAATACTTGGGAAGTGTTCAACGTGTGATCCAATACAACAGCCAGCAGAATGTCTGCTATGGACTCATCTTGTGGTGTTTCAAATGATGATAATAATAATAATAATAATAATAATAATAATAATAATAATAAGGAGCTCTATCTTCATTAAGTACCAAAACTCCCCTTAAAACTGCCAGGCCTTCTCTCCAGCGCCTTCAGCCTCGTCTCACCTCTTCCCCGTTCTTGTCTGTGTTCCGGCCAGACCAGAAGAGATGGGCGCAGGTGCTGACCGCTCGGCATTGATCCGGCTTCTTCAGCAGCTTGGAGGCCGCCAGAGCACACTGAGTCCGCAGGGGCTCATGGTTCTCCTCGCCAAAGCATTTCATGCGCTCAAACGTCCCAATTATCAAGGTGATTGCGGCCAGCTGCGCCTTTGAGTCACTGATTTCGTCTTCATACAGAGAGAATGCCTGATACAGAAAGGGAAGCGGAAATTGGAGGGGAAAGGAGAAGGAGGAAAACATGATCACCAGTCATTTAGATTGCTATATTTGTAATTTTTTCCCCTTCCCTTCAGCAGAATAAAAATAAATTGAGCTTCCTTTGGGAGGGGGGGGGGGCAAAGAAGTGCACATTTCCCAACACATTCAAGAGAAGAACAGCCCAGGTGGGGCAATCCAACAGCTGCTAAGCTATTGGAGACCTTTGACATGCAAAGCAGGTCCCCAGCCAGCTGCCTTCCAGGTCCTCTCCCCCAAAACCATTTCTCTAACTTCCTCTTTGGCAGAAAGGTCTTTGCAAAGGAAAAATTGGAGTATTTTTCTTGGGGAGAGGGGAGGCCAGAACATTATGGGTGACACACATTCCAGGCCTGCAATTATTATTATTATTATTATTATTATTATTATTATTATTATTATTATTATTATCTTTATTTATACCCTGCAAAATCTCTCAAAGGACTCGATGCGACTTACAAAGGCCAAGGCCACCGACAACAACAACATACAATACACAATAAAACTCATAAGCAAATAATAAAACTCATAAGCAAAAGCACAACTATTCTATCACAAGGGATGCTGGAAAAGAATAGTTGCTAGAACTCTGGAGATATACTACAGGTCATCCCCAAACAGAATAGATTCTTAAGTTAAATTTGTTTGTAAGCCAGAACAGATACATTTTAAAGTGTAATTCCAGCCGTGTGTGTGTGTGTGCATGCGTGCTTTGTACTATAAGGTTAATACTAGGCGTGGTTAGGTTTGGTCGGAATCTTCGTAATTCGGAATAAATTCAGAAAGGTTTGCTTTTTGAAGCAATTTCGAAGTTTTTAAGGAAACCGGAAGTCGCTTTGCCCTTCTGAAGCTTTTTCTGCCATTTCTGTTACAAAGCATTAAGTGAGTCGGAAATGATTCAGCTTTTCCCCTGCTTCTAGTCCTTGCCCTCATCTAAAGCCAGAGAAGCCATTTTAAACCAGAGTGGATGAATTTCCTCCCTTTCCATCCCCCCCCCTTCTGTCTCAGGCCTGGAAAGCTGTTTTAAACCAGAGTGGATGAATTTCCTCCCTTTCCATTCCCCCCCCCCTTCTGTCTCAGGCCTGGAAAGCTGTTTTAAACCAGAGTGGATGAATTCCCTCTCTTTGCTCCCCCCTTCCCCCAGCTTCTGAAGTAAAACGAACTACTTTCAAAGTAAAGACCTCCCAATGAAACAGGAAATAACACTTTCAAACCATTAACAATAGGATTCAGAAGGCTTGAAAGTTTCGAAAAGCTTTGAACATTTTTTTCTGTGAAAATCAGAATTGACTTTAGAATCGAACTGGCAGCGGCCCCTACATCCGAAACGAATTTTGAACCATTTTTCTAGCCCAGTTAATACACCTGTGGTGGTTGTTTTGCTGTCTGTGTCCCTGTTTATTTGTTTGTTTACTTATTTACTCAATTTATATCCCACCCTTCTTACCCCAAAAGGGGGACGCAGAGCGGCCTTACAAAAAGGCAACAATTTACATACAGTAAAAATAGACATATACATTAAAACCCAAAAATCAACAGCAACATTAAAACAATTATGAAAATCATGTTATCCAGAGTCAAATCCAAGGCCATTCCATTACTCATTTCATAATTCCACAGACTCATATTGCACTAACTTGCTAGCCAAAACTTTGGTCCCATAACTAAGTTTTTCCTTTCTTCCTGAAGGTCAGGAAGAAAGGGGCTGCTCTGGTTTTGCTGGGGAGGGAGTTCCAAAGCTGAGGGGCCACCACTGAGAAGGCCCTGTTCTCTCGTCCCCACCATTCGATCCTGCGAAAAAAGCGGGACTGAGAGCAAGGTCTCCCTAGAAGATCTTAGACACATTACATTGCTGTCTCACCAGTTTTTTTTAAATTTTTATATTCTATTCAAATCGGCCTGCCCAATGTGATCAATTTCTATGTTTAAAATCTGATTTTATATTGTTGGTGTGTTTAAAATGGGTTTGTATTTTATTTTATTTTATTTTGATTTTCTGTTGTATATTGTTTTACTGTATTGCTGGGCTTGGCCTCATGTAAGCCACCCAGAGTCCCCTTGGGGAGATGGTGGTGGGATATAAATAAAGATGATGATGATGATGATGATGATGATGATGATTATTATTATTAACCTCTGTGGTGGATCACAGATGGAAATGATTTCACCCCACTGTCTGTACCTGTGAAAATTAGATTTTGAAAAATGTAACTTATTGTGGAAACAAGGATTGGTGATAAAGCCTCAGTGGAGACACCTTTTCTGCACGATGATAACTGTTCCAAGAGTGCATTTCCTTTCTGAGGGGTAGATTTCTCTCACTGCCTGTTGTCTCACCTCCATTCTTAACTTGGAGTCATTTGTAAGTTGGATGTTTGTAACTGGGGGATTGCTTATATTAATTTGAATATACCAGTGTTTCCCAAACTCTAGCCTTCCAGCTCGCAGAATCCCCAATTACTAGCCAAGGTGGCTGAGACTTCGGGGATCTGAAGTATAAAAGACCTTGAGGACCTGAGTGTGGGAATCATTGGAGTAGAAAATGTACAGCTAGAGATAAGACCAATGGACTAAACTGGAAACAGAGCACACAATATTAATTTGGGGGTCACTACAAAGTCCCCTAACTGTCAAGGGAATTCTGAGACCTGTGGTACAAATAAAATAAAATAAAATTTAAAGCACTGTAATTCAGAAAAGGGCAGCATCCCAAGTTCAAATATTTATTTATTAATTATTTATTTACGACATTTATATGCCGCCCTTCTCACCCTGAAGGGGACTCAGAGCGGCTTACAAGTAAAAAGTAAATACAATATATTATTATCATAGAACAATATTAATATTATATATTACATTGTACTATAACATTATCCTGTAATATTATTAGTTTTGGTCGTGTCAGGAGCGACTTGAGAAACTGCAAGTCGCTTCTGGTGTGAGAGAATTGGCCGTCTGCAAGGACGTTGCCCAGGGGACGCCCGGATATTTTTATCATCCTTATGGGAGGCTTCTCTCATGTCCCCGCATGAGGAGCTGGAGCTGACAGAGGGAGCTCATCCGCCTCTCCCGGATTTGAACCTGCGACCTGTCGGTCTTCAGTCCTGCCGGCACAGGGGTTTAACCCACTGCGCCACCGGGGGCTCCATATTATTAGTAATATTACATTTAATATAAAATATATAATTATAATATCATATTATTAGTAGTAGTAGTATATTGTATTACATTATAATATTATCAATATATTATATTATATTATATATTGTAATACATATAAGAATTGAAGCAGTTGTTCTCCAAGGCAAACTCCATGGGAAATGCAACTCCTACCACTCCCAGAAGAGTTGTTGTAGGTTTTTTGGGCTATATGGCTATGTTCCAGAAGCATTCTCTCCTGACGTTTCGCCCACATCTATGGCAGGCATCCTCAGAGGTTGTGAGGTCTGTTGAATTCCCAGAAGGACTTCAATGGGCAGACTGTCTTGGAAAGTAGAAGAGGAAGCAACACAGTTACTTTACATGCCGACCTCACCTGGGACATGAACTCGTAGGCCACCGTTTCATGGTTTTCAAACCCAATTTCCCCGGCTGCCAAAGCTCCTTGGAGGAAAAGCCGCAGCGGAAGCTCTGCCAACTCCGCCTTGATCAGAGCACTGATTGTCTGGTGTGCAAACGTGAAGATCTTCTGGCATTTCTTTTCCCATTTGTCATCCTTTTTGAAGAGCAAAAACAAAGACAATTCAGCATAGGACACTGGGCACCAAACCACGACAGAAGGAGAGCCATATTTACACCTTATGAAACAGAACATACGTTCTGCCAACTGACTAAATGAGGGAAAGAAAACTGAATATATTAATATTTGTTAAATGTATAATCCGACTTTCCAAAATGGAAGGCACAAGTTCTCACTTCGTGATGCTGTTCCCCAGATACTGCCACAGGAAATATTTCCCTATGTTTCTAAGGAAAATGGGACAAATGGGCGGCTTCATTAGCCTTTCCAGAAGAATGTGGAGGGTTGCTTCACTCCCACAAAATACCCTTTTTAACTGTCCCAAATTGCCCTCTGGAGGAAACAGTAGGCTTTCTTGTCTCCTGTGCTATGCTTATAATATAATATAATATAATATACATATACATATAATATAAATAATATTATAATGTAATGCAATATAATACTAATAATATGACATTATAATTATATATTTATATTACATGTAATATTAGAATCATAGAATAATACTATAATGTAATGCAACATACATACACATACATATATAAATATATACATGCACACACATATACATATAGAATCATAGAATCAAAGAGTTGGAAGAGACCTCATGGGCCATCCAGTCCAACCCCCTGCCAAGAAGCAGGAATATTGCATTCAAATCACCCCTGACAGATGGCCATCCAGCCTCTGTTTAAAAGCTTCCAAGGAAGGAGCCTCCACCACACTCCGGGGCAGAGAGTTCCACTGCTGAACAGCTCTCACAGTCAGGAAGTTCTTCCTCATGTTCAGATGGAATCTCCTCTCTTGTAGTTTGAAGCCATTGTTCCGCGTCCTATCTCCAAGGAAGCAGAAAACAAGCTTGCTCCCTCCTCCCTGTGGCATGCCTCCTCTCAGCCTTCTCTTCTTCAGGCTAAACATGCCCAGCTCCTTAAGCCGCTCCTCATAGGGCTTGTTCTCCAGACCCTTGATCATTTTAATTGCCCTCCTCTGGACACATTCCAGCTTGTCAATATCTCTTGAATTGTGGTGCCCAGAATTGGACACAGTATTCCAGGTGTGGTCTAACCAAGGCAGAATAGAGCATGGGTAGCATGACTTCGATGGACCTAGACACTATACTCCTATTGATGCAGCCAAAATCCCATTGGATTTTTTTGCCGCCGCATCACATTGTTGGCTCATGTTTAACTTGTTGTCCACAAGATCTTTTTCACACGTACTGCTCTCGAGCCACGCGTCCCCCATTCTAATGTAATGTAATGTAATGTAATGTAATATATTGTATATACATATATTTATAATATTATAATGTAATGCACTATACTAATAATATATATTATAATTATATATTCATATTACATGTAATATTACTAATAATATTACAATATAATGGTATAGTACAATACAGTAATATTTAATACTGATATTGTACTATACTAATGACATAATATATTGTATGCTACTCTGAGTCCCCTTCGGGGGTGAGAAGGGCAGCATATAAATGTTGTAAATACATAAATAAATCTATATAAATAAAAATGTAATGTTCGTTTGTGGGATTAACATAACTCAAAAACTACTGGGTGAACTGAAACCTAATTTGGATACAATACACCTATCAGGCCAACGAGTGACCATCACTCATAAAAACAGTAAAAAGCACAGCGGAAGAGACTGAAAATGGCAAAAAATAAAAAATAAATTAAAACGCATGTGCAAAACCACATATGTACACATATACACAAATATATATATACACACAAAACACATATACACAGACTGGGCCACAGCAACGCATGGCAGGGGACAGCTAGTAAATAAATAAATTTTCTAGCAATTTCTGGGGTCTTTTAAAACAACAGAAAGTGAGTGTTGTTGTCCAGTCTTTGAATGTGCCTGCACCTGATCTCTGTGGGGATTCTGGGCCTATTAGTCAGCCTAATGACACTAGGGATTATGGGTCTACAAGTCAGCAGGAGCACCAGCAAGAGATTTTAAGCCCTGAAAATGATCGGTCTCTGTCTGAAGGCCACATTCCTGAAAGGCAGTTCACTAGGGAAGCAAGGTCAGAAACAGATCTAAGCTCAGAAGATGAAAATGAAAGTCCAGGTGGACAGACTAATAAGCAGTTAGATAGGAGATTTACGTTGCATCAACATAGAGCTTCTCAGGAGGGTTTACGAAGGTCAAGATGCCTATTAGCCAAGACGTTCTTGTTAGTTTCCCAAGGGAGAAAGCATGAATTTCGGTCTATATTAGCAAGACCAGCAGACTGTTTTACCAGTCGAGCCAAAGCTGGTTATTGAGCATAGAAGTTCTGTCACGTCAAGGGATTTCTAGTTCCATTTTCCATGTTTCCCTGAATCTCATGTTTTGGATTTATTCTGCTTTTGTATTCCTGGTTTTTGATGCTACTCATGTACTTTGAATTCTGTGGATTATTCCTGATACTTAGACTTTGGTTTTTCATACTATTTTTCTGAATTGCTTTTCGTATATATTCTTCAATAGACTGCTTTGCTATTTTACCTTGGACTGTGTGTGTTAAGTACAGGGGTGATTCTCAGCCTTGGAATACAACAGAGCGCAAGCTCAGACCCGGTTAGTACTTGGATAGGAAACTACTATTTACGACATTCATATGCCACCCTTCTCACCCCGAAGGGGACTCACAGTGGCTTACAAGATATATATACATACAATATATTATATTATTAGCATAGTACAATATCAGCATTATATATTACTATACTGTACTATAACATTATATTGTAACATTATTTGTAATATTACATGTAATATAAAATATAGAACTACAATATCATATTATTATTAGTAGTATTATATTGTATTACATTATAATATTATAAATATTATATGTATATACAATATATTATTGTATATTGTACAATATACGATATACTAACAAACATCACATGCTGTAGGATATTTTTCAGAGGAAGTAACTGGCCTCCCCTACCTAAGAAAACCCTATGGAATCTATGGGGTCACTATAAGTTAAAAAAACAAATTGAATTATTTCCTGTTCACCTTCTATTTCAAGGAATGACCTTTAATGGGCATAATTTGGCCCAGGATTTCCCCAAACTAGTGGAATTTTAAGACTGAAACCACCCTTTCTTGACCTCCGGGGAAGCTTCAAATCTGGTGGAAATGCTCTCCAGGGATCATTGTGTGTCCATTCTGTCTCTTCTAAGCATCTGTGGCAGCACAATGTGCTTTGCTCGTTCACTCACCTCTTTAGCATTTTCCTTATAGCGAAACGCAAGCTGGTATGCAGCAAAAACCAACGGCGGCAACGTGAAACGAATACGCTGGTTTCCGCCAGCGCCGAAATGTTTCCGAGCAGTATTTAAAATCTAACAAGAGAGAAAAACCACAGGATTTATTGTTTAGCTACTTTAGATCACACATAAATAAATATAAGGAAGTCATAAATGATATAACCACAGTACTGGAGTTATTTCTGAAACCATTCTTGCACACTGAAGGCTATGGAGTTTATCACTAATATTTCCATTCTCAAGCAGATAAGACAGAAAAATGCATTGATCTTCTTAGATATGGTTATCGTGGTTTCCTTCATTCTTAGATATGGTTTTCATGATATTCTATGGGTGAGCAGATGGCAACTGGAATAAGGCATATGTCCTGTTTCTCAAAAACTAGAATTGGCAGGGGAAAATTGGTACCCTTTTGGGAATCAGCCAGTCAAATATACCCAAAAACATTTGAAGCACCAAAATATACTGTATATACTTGAGTATAAGCCTAGTTTTTCAGTCCTTTTTTTAAGCTGAAAAAGTCTCCCTCAGCTTATACTCGAGTCAAGGTTTTTTTTATTATTTTACTCTATTATTATTATTATTATTATTACATTAATCATTTTACTCTATTATTATTACATTATTTATTTATTTATTTATTTATTTTACTCTATTATTACTGTCATTATTACATTTCCATTATTTTACCCTATTATTATTATTATTATTATTATTATTATTATTATTTTACTCTATTATTATTGGAAGGATATGTAAACACATTTCAACTGAAGAATAATGATTTAATCAGAGGACAGTCTTATCTTAACTTAAAGTTTTATTCAAAAATATTTAACCTACCGATGCCTAAATTAATGCAATTTTATTGGTATCTGTTTTTATTTTGGAATTTACCAGTAGCTCCTGCATTTCCCACCCTCAGCTTATACTCGATTCAATCTGTTTTCCCAGTTATTTGTGGTAAAATTAGGTGACTCGGCTTATATTCGGGTCGGCTTATACTCGAGTATATACAGTATGTTGGTCAGTGTAACGGGACAACAATGCAGAACAATACAATCACCTAGATCAGTGTTTTTCAACCTGGGGGTCAGGACCCCTGGGGGGGATCGCGAGGGGGTGTCAGAGGGGTCACCAAAGACCATCAGAAAGAGCATGACCAAAAGTATTTTCTGTTGATCATGGGGTTCTGTGTGTGAAGTTTGGCCCAATTCTATCATTGTTGGGGTTCAGAAAGCTCTTTGATTGTAGGTGAACTATAAATCCCAGCAATTACAACTCTCAAATGTCAAGGTCTATTTTCCCCAAACTCCACCAGTATTCACATTTGGGTATACTGAGTATTCGTGCCAAGTTTGGTCCTGATACATCATTGTTTTGAGTCCACAATGCTCTCTGGAAATAGGTGAACTAGAACTCCAAAACTCAAGGTCAAGGTCCACCAAACCCTTCCAGTGTTTTCTGTTGGTCATGGGAGTTCTGTGTGACAAGTTTGGGTCAATTCTATCATTGATGGAGTTCAGAATGCTCTTTGATTGTAGGCTAACTATACATTTCAGCAACTACAACTCCCAAATGACAGATTCAATCCCCCTCCCACCCCACCAGTATTCAAATGTGGACGTATTGGGTATTTGTGCCAAATTTGGTCCAGTGAATGAAAATCCATCCTACATATCAGATATTTACATGATTATTCGTAACAGTAGCAAAATTCCAGTTATGAAGTAGCAACGAAAACAATTTTATGGTTGGGGGTCAGCTCAACATGAGGAACTGTATTAAGGGGTTGCGGAAAGAAGAAGGTTGAAAAACATTGACCTAAATGGACAGTTTACTCCAATATAAGACCTATATATTTTTAAAGCACACAACTACCAAGCCAAAGCCTGTACTAGGTTTGAGTGACAGCCTATGCCATTGTTGGGAACCAATTGTAACATCTAGATATTCTTGGTCTATAAGCTTCATCGGTGCAACCCAACAGTACAGTACGATGGAATCTGTTGCCATTTAGAAGGCTGTAAAAGTCTTCCAGCATTAGAGTCAACCAAGTCCTAGCTGTGTTTCCAAAGATGGATGTTCAACAACAGGGAAAACCAACTGATCCCTAATCCATCTAAAACAGAGACATGCGCCTTTCACCTTAAGAACAGACAAGCATCCCGAGCTCTGAGGATTACCTGGGAAGGAATCCCACTGGAGCATTGCAGCGCACCCAAATACCTGGGAGTCACTTTGGACCGTGCTCTGGCCTACAAGAAGCACTGCCTGAACATCAAGCAAAAAGTGGGCGCTAGAAACAACATCATATGAAAGCTGACTGACACAACCTGGGGATCACAACCAGACACAGTGAAGACATCTGCCCTTGCGCTATGCTACTCTGCTGCTGAGTATGCATGCCCAGTGTGGAACACATCCCACCATGCTAAAACAGTGGATGTGGCTCTTAATGAGACATGCCGCATTATCACGGGGTGTCTGCGCCCTACACAACTGGAGAAATTACACTGCTTAGCCGGTATTGCACCACCTGACATCCGCCGGAAGTAGCAGCCAATAGTGAAAGGACCAAGGCAGAGACATCTCCAGCTCATCCCTTGTTTGGGTATCAGCCAGTACGTCAACGACTTAAATCAAGAAATAGTTTTCTTAGATCTACAGAGACACTCGCTGGAACACCTCAGCAAGCGAGAGTCCAAAAGTGGCAGGCTCAAACCCAGCACCTCAATCCGTGGGTGATACCAGATGAGAGACTCCCCCCTGGGCACACAGAAGACTGGGCGCTGAACAGACTGCGCTCTGGCACCACAAGATGCAGAGCCAACTTTAAGAAATGGGGTTACAGGGTGGAATCCACGACATGCGAGTGTGGAGAAGAGCAAACCACTGACCACCTGCTGCAATGCAACCTGAGCCCTGCCACATGCAATGGAGGACCTTCTTGCGGCAACACCAGAGGCACTCCAAGTGGCCAGATACTGGTCAAAGGACATTTAATCAGCTACCAAGTTTGCAAAATTTGTGTTTTTTTATCTGTTTGTTTGTTTTGTTCTGTTGGAAATGTAATACAATGGTATGGTTGCTGATGACACGATAAATAAAAGAAAACAACAGTACAGAAAGTAGATGGATTTGCATGTTTGTGAAGTAAGCCAAATCTCCTATAAATTGCTTCTGAACCTAGAATTATCACTTAGTCATTGCAGCTCATAAGAGCTGACAGACCTTCCTCTCCAAAACCGTAATACAATTCTTTCTCAAAGATATCTTGAGATTACAGCAGATTGCAATGTTACCCAGCACTGAATTCAGGAAGCTCATTACGCAGGCACCAAAACAGCAGTGTTTCCATTTATCACTTTGCAAGCTGCCTGCATTTGTTTTTTCACATCATGACATTCACAGCATGACATACTATGATGTTGCAAAGACCAGAATTAATTGGTCTTTGCAATTGGTCTTTGCAGAACGACAGTCGCTGCCTGAAGCCAGGCCCTTGGAGCAATTCAAATGCCTCCCAGCCACATTCCCTCGCCTTCCACAAAATGCTGGGGCTGGAAACATTACTTTTGAAGCACTCAAAATATCCAAAGAAAGGATGAGAGACCACTCAAAGACGCGAGAGAATAGAAACTCCCTCTCCATTTGTGCCCGACACACATACTCCTAATCGTCAGAGCTATATGGTCCCTTTGGAGACGGAGGCTGCATTTAATCACTCAAAGATGAACAATAGGTTATGGGAGACTGTAGTGCAATTACTGAAAGATAACTACATGATAATCACTGCCATATTACCTATATGATTATATTACTCATTATAGGTGCCAGGAGATCGTGGACTTGCTTTATTTTCATTCATATTCATTCGTTTTAAAGGACTCTCAATGCATCTTCTGTATAGAAAATGTGTTTCCCATCCAAAGAAAATTACATTTCCTTTCCTTTTATCTTACTAAGAATTATGGTAGTTACATCGACTATCAAGCTTTAACTGCTTTCACCCAAAAATTGGCTATTCACCGGGACTGATGAAAGGATCCAGCTGAATCCTCATGTTTCTGAAGCGGCAACTGCCTCTGCTATTAACATAAGCCAGGTGGCATTCAATGTGCATTTCTTAGCATTTCATCCAACTCTGCAGAAAGAGAGGATTCTGGGGCCTCTCTTTTCTGTCATTATTTAAAACCAGCATAAATTTTTCCTGCAAACATTAATGTCTCAGTGGGGTGCAAAATGGCTGAGTAAGTTATTATGCTTTCCCACCCTTCATTTCCCCTTTTCAGTAACTTAGAAAGCAGTGGAAAGCAACAATAGACAGTGATTCCCGAAGTCTACCTGCAGCTATAATAATAATAATAATAATAATAATTATTATTATTATTATTAGAAACACAACAAGATGAGTCCACAGAAGACACCACTCTGCTGGCTGTTGTATTGGATCACACAGTCTAGGACTGTGTGATGTATCGGCAAATATTATTATTATTTTATTTTATTTTTATTTATTTTAATACATTCACAACATTTATAGTTCCCACCACCATGAGGATTGTTTTCTTTTACATATTAATCCTTTTTGAGATGAACCTTATAGATTAACATTCTATATAACATTTGTCTCCTATTTCTTTCTTTCTTTTTTCTTAAATATTTTTTAAATTAATTATTTGACACAATCTCATATATAATCAGAAAATATACGTTCAGAAATACTGGAACATGTCTAGATCTGTATGTAGACAGCAACTTGTACAAAGTAGGTATAACATATTATACCATTCACTCGAGTTTAAGACACTTTCAAAGGAAAATCCATGCAAACTATTCCTAACTAGAACTGTGTCTATCTAGCTAACATCAATAGTGTCATCAGCTACTCCCACCCCCATATCATATGCAAAAATAAATGCCAATGTATTTTTTTTTGGGGGGGGGGGTTCCTTACAAGGCAAGAAATGTATCTTCATGATCAAGATGGTTTCAGAGTATGTCCAAATACATCTTGATATTACATCAATAAAAAAGAAAACAAGAATGGGAGCAGGCAACAAAGTACTCTC